CTCCAGAATAATACATATCCTAATCTTCTTTTCTTTTCCGATTTGGTTTTTTTGCTTACAGCTAAATGTTGGGAAAAAAATATATTTCAATTAACAAAATTTGTTTTGTAACCTGCGGGGTCGAGAAGTTATAGGGCAGCAAAATTTGGAAAAAATTGTAAATTAGAAAAAATACTTTTTTTTGAAAGTCTGCAATTTCTTTGTTTTATAAAGTCAAACTTAAAATCAACATAGTAAATATTGAAAATATTAAATATTTTGAAAAAATAGTTTTTTATGTTAAGGGGTAAAATAACAACAAAAACAGATTAAATAAAAAAACAAAGTAGCTAATTAAAAAACATTTTTTTCTCTTTAGTAAAATTTATTATATAAATTTTAAATTTTTAAAGATTTAAATAATCAGTTTGAATATCATTGAATGATTTGAGTTTTGACTCTATCCCTGTCAATTTACTGAACTACTCTGCGCATTTTCATCAATTTCCTCAATTTCTAAGGCTGAAGTAGTCAAATTGGTGCCAATTGATTCCAGATTCAATACAAATTCAGCCTTTTGGCACCTTTCATTTTTAGCGAACACTCTCTTGAAAATATCATTCCAAACTAGCTTGTTTGTCGTTTTCCAGCCCTTCAGCACTGTATTATTCTAAACTATCTTTTTTTAGTTAAAAAATGTGTGAAGAGAATAGTAAAACCCAATGATCAATCTGAAGGTAAATAAAAAGAAAAAATATATTTAAATTACAGTTATAATTATGTCAGCAAAATTTTCCATTTGTAATTTTTATCATTAAACAGTGCTTATCTATAAGAACCTGGAATAATATAAATTGATTGATTACATTAAACGGAGTGTTCGGGAAAAATGAAAGGGGGTATAGGCCTAGTGCGATAAAAAAGCGCTTTTGATCGTTACTAATCTTACTTCTATCTGTTGCGTCTGTAAGGAGAAAATTGTTAAAGACGTCTCACACTGAATAACTTAGCGGCCATACAAATTGAAAAAATTGCAACATACTACTTAGACCGTAAAAAATCAATTTAATTTTAAACAAATTCAGATATTACAACCTATAGTCATCAATTATCTTTCGCCACATTTGTATATAGTTAATACTTAATAATATTTTTTAATTTATTTGTTTATTTCTCTTGTCGCTTGTGCAACTATCTAAGAATGCCGCAAACCACTCACAATTTTTGAAATCCGTTGAAAACGTCTTCTAAAAAAATAAAATATTATAAAATATAAACTATATACTAATGTGGCGAAAGATAATCGATGACTATAGGCTGTAATATCTAAATGATTTGTTTAAAATTAAATTGATTTTTTACGGTTTAAGTCGTAAGTTGCAATTTTCCCAATTTGTATGGCCGCTAAGTTATTCGGTGTGAGACGTCTTTAACTATTTTCTCCTTATAGACCTAACAGATAGAAGTAAGATTAGTAGCGATCAAAAGCGCTTTTTTATCGCGTTAAGCCTATACCCCCTTTCATTTTTCGCGAACACTCCCTTTAAAGGGCTCGTTGACATAAGGCCTTCGGCATTCATCGTAGGTGGCCTAATTTTAGCAATTTTTTAAGGTCAATGACGACTTAATCTATCAATTTATATCATGTAGGCCGTCCTTGGAAATATTATTAAATATTTTGTGAGTAATGGTTTATTTCAGATTCAGCGAGCAAAGAGAACTTAATGTATCTGTGTGATCAGTGTGAATTTACTACCAGGCTACCAACATATCTGAAGATTCACATGAAGACTGCACATGAAAATGTTCGGTATCCCTGCCATCTCTGTGATTATAAGGCGACACAAACATGGTATTTAAGAACGCACATAGACTCTGTGCATAAAGGAATATTTTTCTATTGTGACCAATGTAAATATAAAGGTAGCTCATTACATATTCTGACAGCCCACAAGAAACGAAGGCATGATGTAAAACTTTTTCAATGTGATGCTTGTGAATTTGGATGTTCTGTTTCAATTGAATTAAAACGTCACAAAGAAAGTAAGCACGAAGGTGTTACTTATCCCTGTACACAGTGTGATTATGTAGGTGCTTGGCGTCAATGTTTGAATAAGCATATTAAAAAGTTTCATGAAAATCTTGTTTATCCCTGTAAGCATTGTGATTACACTAGCACCTGTNATTACTACAACACCATAAAAAGGGTTTCCTAGGCAGGTGGTCCCTTTAAGCATTAAAATAATCTTTACATTAATTAGATATGAGTGGATCATAAAAGTCCAGCTTTTCATGATTAGGAACCTAGTTGTATTCGAACTAAGATGTTCTAGCTTTCAGTTAAATTTTTTGTTCTATAGCTCTCCTCCATTTTCTCCAGCAAATCTGATTAAACTGCCATTTTATAACTGTATGTAGCATGATGTATAAGAAAATACTGATTATTATTGATTATAAAATTAAATGGCAAACAGAATTATTTACATCAATTATCTCCTAAAATGATTCCTAAATGCCTACCTAAAAGTTGGTTTTCTAGTTGGGATATATCTTGAAGTGTGGTAGGAGCACTAGAACTGGTTTCTATAGAGGATGGAACTGAATCTAGAAGGAGAAATATCAAAGAACTGCAAAGATGTAAATCAGAAAAAAAACTTGTTTTTTGAAAGTCTGCAATTTCTTTGTTTTATAAAGTCAAACTTAAAATCAACTTACTAAAAATTAAATATTTTGAAAAAATAGGTTTTTTTATGTTTAGGGGTAAAATAACAACAAAAACAGATTAAATTAAAAAAACAAAGTAGCTATTTAACAACTTTTTTTCTCTTTAGTAAAATTTATTATATAAATTTTAGATTTTTAAAGATTTAAATAATCAGTTTGAATATCATTGAATGATTTGAGTTTTGACTCTATTCCTGTCAATTTACTGAACTACTCTGCGCATTTTCATCGATTTTTACAATTTCTAAGGCTGAAATAGTCAAATTGGTGCCAATTGATTCCAGATTCAATACAAATTCAGCCTTTGGGTACCGTTCATTTTTAGCGAACACTCTCTTGAAAAGATCATACCGTACTTGCTTGTTTGTCGTTTCCTTGCCCTTAAGCACTGTATCATTCTAAACTATCTTTTTTTAGTTAAAAAATGTGTGAAAAGAAAAGTAAAACCCATTGATCAATCTGAAGGTAAATAAAAATAAAAAAAAATATTTAAATTACAGTTATAATTACGTCAGCAAAATTTTCCATTTGTAATTTTTATCATTATACAGTGATAATCTATAAGAACCTGGAATAATATAAATTGATTGATTACATTAAAGGGCTCGTTGACCTAAGGCCTTCGGCATTCATCGTAGATGGCCTGATTTTAGCAATTTTTTAAGGTCAATAACGACTTTATCTATCAATTTATATCATGTAGGCCGTCCTTGGAAATACTAAATATTTTGTGAGTAATGGTTTATTTCAGATTCAGCGAGCAAAGAGAACTCAATGTATCTGTGTGATCAGTGTGAATTTACGACCAGGCTACCAACATATCTCAAGAGTCACATGAAGACTGCACATGAAAATGTTCGGTATCCCTGCCATCTTTGTGATTATAAGGCGACACGAACATGGTATTTAAAAACGCACATAGACTCTGTGCATAAAGGAATATTTTTATATTGTGACCAATGTAAATATAAAGGTAGATCGTTACCTATTCTGACAGCCCACAAAAAACGAAGGCATGATGTAAAACTCTTTCAATGTGATGCTTGTGAATTTGGATGTTCTGTTTCAATTGAATTAAAACGTCACAAAGAAAGTAGGCACGAAGGTGTTACTTATCCCTGTACTAGATATCTCTGAAGATATTAAGATTGATGTAGAAGATGTTCTAAACTATGATGTAAGGAAAAGTACAGGTAGGCCTCCAATAAGTCCTCATAGGATAATGTTCCCTTGGGTAAATGTAAGTTAGCAACACTTTTATGAAAGTGTCTAATTTCAGTTTATTTTAAATAACATTTAGTATAATGTATTTTTTAAGGAACCCTGGTTGAAAAAACGGATGTAACAACATTAAGTAAGAAAATTGGTATTACTGTTCAGAGAGTCCAGTCAAAAGATCCCTACCCCTGTCCTTTATGCAATTTCGAAGCTACCTCTAAGTTTGGATTGAGGAAGCACAAAGCTAGTGAACATAAAAGGATTCTACCACAATGTGCTCAATGCGGATATTTAGCCCAGAATAAAAAGGAGTTGAGAATACATGTTAATGATAATGCTGGCTGTAGGACAAACTCCGTAAACAAGCAAAAAGGTAAAAAGCATTTAATTTAAATTTAGTTTTTATATTATTTTTTCTAAAATCTAGATCAGAAGGCGAGAAATTTCTTAAAAGAAAGTTTTTAAAGGGAAATGGGGGAAATTATTCCATATCATCTTGGGTGCGCTTTTAGCTCCTTTATATAGATTTTTAAGACTACATTAAAAAAAACATTATGTCTGCAGTTTGAACTTGTTGTTGATTTATTTAGTTATAATTAATATTATATTATATCTGTTCGGTTCCATAGTAGTAAACCTATCCCATTATTACACGGTTCAGGAGAAGAAATTTCAATATTGTTATATTGTTGGCTTCTTAGCGTTTAAGAATGCTTATTCTTTAACTCTCAGCACATGCAAGAATGGATATTATTACACGGTCAGAGCGTGAAAGAATGTAAATTCTTACACGCTCCAAGCATTAAAGGGAATGACCAGCTATATAAGGTAGTTGAAGTTGAGTATGCAGTGTTGTGGAAAACTTCTTTCGGATTCATTTGAGACATGATAAACTTTTAAAATATATGTAAATCCTGAGTTTGAGCGCAAATTCGACGTTCAAAACTTCTACTTTGAGGGTGGATACGTTTTCAGAATTAGTTTTCTTAAATTTTTAAATAACGACGACATAAAATTTAACAAAAAGTTCTACAATAAAATACAGAACATGTTGAGAAAATAAAGATTAATCTTATCGAAAATAAGTAATCTTGTTCAATTATTAGTTTCTATTTTCTCATTAGTCACAACGATTTTCGCAGATTTTCTAGAATTATTATTGAAAAGACGACATTTGAAGAATTTGAAGAAATCTGCGAATAAATTTAAAGAAATAATCGAGCATTGATTTATTGACAAATTTCTTTTAAGAAATATGTTCCTAACCATCTAATTAGATTACTGTATACTTTTTTCTTGATTTTTCGATGTCGATATTTAATAATTTAAAAAAACTAATTTTGAAAACGTATCCACCCCCAAAGTAGGAGTTTTGAACGTCGACTTTGCGCTAAAACTCAGGATTTACAGATCTTTATAAAGTTTAATATGTCTCAAATGAATCCGAAAGAAGTTTCCCACAACACTGCATACTCAGTTCAACTACCTAACATAGCCAGTCACTCCCTTTAAAGAATGGAAATTATTACACGCCTCTCCTTAAATTGATCTTTTCAACATAATTCAATATTAATATTAACTTAATTATTTTGTACTGACAAAATGTTCAATGCTCACTTACCTTTTTCTTTTATATTAAAACATGCAAACTTGCCTTTTTTGTTTAGAAGTATTAAAATACCTTAATTCAGGAATTTCCATTTAAATCTTAACCCTAGTCCTGACAGAAGAGTGGAAGGGGGGACCCCAGCCCCCTGTATAAAATTAACATAACCCGCTTTTCCTTTTGGAAGATTTAGGATCTAATATACAGCAAACGATTTCTTCTGTAAATGATTTCACTATTTTGATCAGTAGATTTAGACAACCCACTACTATTCTCTACCTCCTCTCCATCTAAAAACTCGGGGCACATTCAACATAATATATTTAAAATTCAGTGCTTAGGATCCATTTAATTTTGATGCAGATCCGGATCCTGGATCCTGGATCCGCACAAGGAAAAAAGGGATCCGGATCCAGGTTATTTCCATAAAATTAACCGAATTTTTTTCTACAGAGCAGAATTTAAAAATTTTTGTCTTATCTTTTTTTGTATCTTTGTAAAATAAAGTATAAGAAAAACCGACTCGACGAATATATTATTTTCTAGTGGTTGCATTAAGTATTTTTCCTTCATATACAATAGTATATATATTGTTTTTATTAAATTCTAGAATTTTATAAAGATTGAATCACAGAATTACAGAAAATTTGCAAAATTGTAGTAAGAAAATTCGCAATTTCCAGATATGGTCTAATTTTTAAGGAAAAGTTATTTAAATCCTCTAGTTATAAATGTACGCTTGTGGCGCCCCTGGATTCCTGGAATGCAGTACACAGCATATTCCATACTTCATATGTTATTGTTTAGATTATGATATACTGCATCTGGTATAAATACTGTATTTGATAAATATATATTCAGTCAGTTTATTTGGTCTTATTTATTTCGTCGCTACATTTTGGTGACCCCGACATGATTCTTTTGTCGGAATTAAATCCTCTTGTTGAAGCGCCCGAAATTGGTTCTTACCGAGTCCCTGCTCTTTTCATACTCAAACACCAAAGTAAGGTTCCTACGATAGTGTTCTTTTTCAGCATAGTAGCGATGTCGACCAATGATGAGGTATCTTCACCCCCTGATGGTCAGTTATCCCTCACCACGGTATCCATCAAGCTTCCCACCTTCTGGACGGACTCCCCTGAGGTGTGGTTCCTTCAGGCTGAGGCCCAGTTTGCGATCAAGCGTGTGACGACTTCTCTAACCAAGTTTCACCACTGTGTTGCAGCCCTTCCCCAGGACGTTGCCACTCGCCTCATAGATCTGATCCGTAATCCAACTTCAGATCCCTATGCAACCCTGAGAACCCGCCTTATCCAGATGTACACTCTCAGTAATTTCCAGAGGTATCAGGCTCTCCAGAGTATCCCGGTTCTGACTGATCAAAGACCCTCAGAACTCATGGATAAAATGTTAGTACTCCTCCCTGAAGATGAGAAACCTGGTTTCTTTTTCTTAGGCCTGTTTATGGATCGTCTCCCTGCAGATATTCGTTCCCATCTACTGACGGAATCGATTGCTGACCCTAGACGGATGGCTACCAGAGCAGACGAACTATGGACCGTTCGTGGAAGAGTTAATGCCGTCCATGCAGTTTCGTCTCAAGACTACAGACAGATGGAGGATGTATCGCTGGTATCTCAAAGCTCCAGAACCAGGTCCTCTTCTGGTCGCACTAGATCCAGCAGTCCAGGTCGATCTACATCCTCATCTACCTCCTCAGAGTGCTGGTATCATCGCAAGTGGGGAAACCAGGCTAACCAGTGCAGGTCGCCATGTTCTTTTTCGGGAAACTAGTTAACGGCGGGGATGTTGTAAACATGGTTCCGCCGAAACCCACTCCTCACCCCTGTTATTCCTTAAGAACAAGCTCAGCTCCAACACGTTCCTCGTTGATACTGGTGCGTCTGTGTCAGTGTTCCCTCAACTTCCCCGATCACCTTCAGCTCCAGGTTCTGGTGTTCAGTTGAGAACTGCCGATGGATCCCCCATGGACACTTATGGTTCCCGCTGTTTAGCTCTACAGTTCGGTTCCAGATGTTTTGAGTGGAATTTTTTGCTAGCCAACGTGTCCACGCCAATTTTGGGATCAGATTTTCTACGCCACAATCACCTCCTGGTTGATGTTGCAGGTTCTTGTCTCCTTGACTCCTCGACCCTGGAACCTGGAACCTGCTCTCCTTTCTACCCCTTAAGAGTTCCACGATCTCCTGTCCGAATATCCTGATGTCGTCTCCTCCAAAGGTTTTTTCACCACAGATCCAAGGCATCCAGTCTGCCACACTGTCCCCACATTGCCTGGCCTGCCAGTTTTTGCCAAAGCCCGCCGTCTTGACGCAGAAAAGCTGGAATCGGCAAGGAAGGAGTTTGCGGCCATGGAGTCTGCAGGGATAATCCGACGCTCTTCCTCTCCGTGGGCGAGTCCCTTGCACATGGTAAAGAAGCCTGATGGTTCCTGGAGACCTTGCGGTGATTACCACCGCCTGAATACTCAACTGTTCCTGATAGATATCCTCTTCCTAATGTTGCAGATTTCTCATCTCGTCTTCATGGTTCCAAGGTATTCACTAAGCTGGACCTAACCAAGGGGTATTATCAAGTTCCAATGGCTCCTGGAGATGTGCCTAAGACAGCGGTGATCACCCCCTTTGGCCTGTTCGAATGGTTGAGGATGCCGTTTGGTCTCAGAAACAGCGGATGCACCTTCCAAAGGTTGATGGATCAGATTTTTCAAGGACTTCCTTACTGTTTTGTATATGTGGATGACGTCCTTATCTCCAGCCCCGACCTCAGCTCTCACCTTCAACATGTTCAGAACGTGCTTGATCTTCTCCAACTCCATGGACTCAGTATCAACCCTGACAAGTGTGTTTTTGCAGCTCCTGCAGTGGACTTTCTTAGTATGAGGGTTTCAGGTTCAGGATGTATTCCTCTGACGAAGCACAGAGATTATCTCCGCCTTCCCTCGTCCAACAGACAAGAAGGGTTTACAGAGGTTTCTAGGAATTCTCAATTTCTACAGAAGATTTATCAAGGCTGCAGCTGATCTCCTACGTCCTTTAACTGAGGCTCTCAAAGCTAAATCTTCAACTCTAACCTGGGACCTAGAGATGAACCAATACTTCGCAGCTGCCAAATCCATCCTGGCAAATGTTCTTACTCTGGTTCACCCTGATCCCTCCGCCAGGATATCCTTATCCGTGGATGCCTCTGGATCTCATGTTGGAGCAGTCTTACAACAAGAAGTATCCGGTTCCTGGGCCCCTCTGGCGTTTTATTCCAAGAAATTATCCGCCCCAGAATGCAAGTATTCCGCCTTCGACCGTGAATTGTTCGCTGCCTACTCTTCTCTCCGCCACTTCCGCTTCATGCTAGAAGGTAGACAGTTTATTCTGTTCACTGACCACAAACCATTGACATATGCTTTGTTTAGAACGTCTCCGCCCTGGTCCGCCATGCAGCAAAGGAGATTATCGTTCCTGTCTGAGTTCAACTGTGAGATCCTTCATCTCCCTGGTCCAGAGAATGTAGTTGCTGATGCCCTGTCCCGTTCAGAGTCCAGTGATGTTCCATACATTCCTCCGCCAACGACTTTGATATCCGGACTCCAACCAGTTGCTCCGCGCGCCTCCAGTTCCAGGAATATCTTTCTTCGAAATGTCTATCCTACAGCAGTCCTGCCCAAAGATTGAGGTACTCAGACGTTCATCAACTTTATCTGTTATTTCTGTTCCATTCTCAGGTTCCATCCTACTCTGTGACATGTCCACGGGCAACCTACGCCCCCTGGTTCCGGAGAAGATGAGAAGGTTGGTGTTCTTGTTGATTCACAATATCTCTCATCCTGGTGTAGGTGCGTCTAGAAGATTAATCTCAAGAAGTTTTGTGTGGGAAGGTTTGTCCAGGGATGTTAACTTATGGTCTCAATCCTGCCTGGATTGTCAACGGAGCAAGATTCAAACCCACATCAGATCTCCCATCCAACCTATACCTGTTCCTGGACGGAGGTTTTCTCATCTCCATGTAGATCTAGTTGGCCCCTTACCTCAATCCTCTGGGTTTAATTTTTTGTTTACCATCGTGGACAGAACAAGTGGATGGCCGGAAGCAATACCTCTCCAATCCACAACAGCAGAGGAATGTGCCAAGGTTTTACTGCGTTCCTGGATTCCAACATTTGGAGTGCCGTCTGTAATTACCTCTGATCGTGGAGCACAATTCACTAGTTCTATCTGGACAATCTCTGCAAGTTCCTGGGGATTATTCACTCACCAACCACGTCCTTCCACCCACAGTCTAATGGCCTGGTTGAGAGATTCCATCGCTGTCTCAAGGTATCCCTGAGAGCTAGATTGTCTGAAGCAGACTGGTTTGATCATCTTCCTCTGGTATTACTCAGTCTTCGTAGTGTTCCCAGAGAAGATTCCGCCATCTCCGCATCCAAAACCCTTTTTGGATCTCCGTTGGTGTTGCCTGGAGAATTCCTGAACAGTCCAGAGTTACCTTCCTCGGAGTATCTTCGGAGATTGCAATCAGTCCTGAAGAACAGTTTCACAGTCCTTCCTCATCATTCTACAGTTCCGTCCCTGAAACCAGATGAGATTCCTCCCAGTTTAGTTTCCTGTTCTCATGTGTTCATCAGGGAAGATAAATCTAAGCCTCCGTTGTCTCCGCTGTAAAGAGGACCTTATCTAGTGCTTTCCAAGTATCCAAAGTATTTTCAAGTCCAGATTGGTTCTAAGTCCAACTCAGTCTCCGTGTACCGGCTCAAACCTGTTCTTTCTTATTGTCCTCTGGTTCCACAGTTGCCTCCTCGACGTGGAAGACCTCCGTTGGCTCCGGCTTCGTTGGCTCCGGCTCCGTCACCTCCAGCTCTGTTGGCTCCAGCTCTGTTGGCTCCAACCTCTCCAGCACCTCTCCAGAGAGCCCAGAGAATGAAGAAGAGAGTTAGATTCTCACCTCAACAGCCTTCTCCTCTCCCAGTTCGACGGACCCCTTGAAGAGAAGTCCGAGATAAACATCGAGCTCTTCATCAACTTCATCACCTCGATGCTGGGGGGACCCCTGTGGCACCCCTGGATTCCTGGAATGCATTACACAGCATATTCCATACTTCATATGTTATTGTTTAGATTATGATATAATGCATCTGGTATAAATACTGTATTTGATAAATATATATTCAGTCAGTTTATTTGGTCTTATTTATTTCGTCGCTACACGCTGTTCATTTAAGCCATTGAAAAACAATTTTTACTTACAAACTAGATCAGAAATGACAAATGCGAATTTTCTAATAACAATTTTACTAATTTTCTGTGATTCTGTTATTCATTTTTACAAAATTTTAGAATTTGATAGAAATTGTATTTATTCACATTTTTTTCTGATTTTGAGAGAGAAAAAAGTTTCGCAGATTTTTTGGGGGCCATCACCAAAAAAAATTCCAAAAAATATTGAAAAAATAACATGCAGGAGAGTTGCACAAAAAAGTACAATTTTGCATCAGACGCCGCTAATCACACTTTTTTTGACTCACCCTATATATATTCAACTTAATATTCAATCAAAAAAAAACAGATAAACATCCTCATAGAAAATGTTTCATGGACCAATTGTCTTGGACCAATCTTCAGCGAGGTCTGTTCTCTTATATATATATATATGTATATATATACATATATACATACATATACATATATGTATATATATATATATACAGATAGATAGATAGACAGATAGATTTACAGATAAACTAGTTAGATAGATAGATATACAGATAAAATAGTTAGATATATAGATATACAGTCAGGGGGTGGCGAATGTCCCCCCGCCACCCCCTGTGTCCGCCTTTGTGTATATATAGTTCTGCTATATATATATATATATATGCATAATTAGAAAAAATGTCTTCGGCACAAGATTTTGATTTTGATTCTATCAACATTATGTATTATGCTTTGCAAATATTCGGGATGCAGGAATTATATATTTATATCTAACTTACTTTTTTTTAATACTTTTGAATGAAAGACCCATGTAACCAGGCGAATAAAATACCCATAAAACCGAGACAACATTGAAGCAATATTAGGTGTGTTTGATGTTTGTTATAAAGCACTTTTACACCAGTAGCTTGAAAATAAACTTATCAAGTGAAATGAGTCTTTGCTGTGTTTCATTTTCATTGACTAATTTAAATTACGACCTAAGTCTAAAAGTGGTCTTTCTTTTCCACAGTTTATTTGGTCTCATTATAGAAAAAGAAAATTAAAAAGTTTTTAACATGTATTTTCAGGCAAAATATTGATTTTTTTCCGATGATATTCATGCTTTGGAGAAAAAACTCCGCGGTAGCGGTTGAACTAGCAGTTGAGATCAGTCATACTCTGTGACGTAGTTCAGAAGTAGAAGTGAGACTTTTTTTCTTTCTCTAATTAAAAATTGATTCAATCTGTAAAATTGTATTCTTTCGTTAAATGTTTTTTGCCCTTAACCACTGGGTTTTACATTTTTACATATGTTTGTTTACTAAATCATAGCTTGTAATAGCTTGTTCTAGATACAGCACCCGTATATACAGCATTCTTAACTCCACTAACCTAAAATAAGGTGAGTTATAGCATATTATTCAACATTTAGGAAGCCACAGCACTCGGCCACATAGCCCATACTAGCCGCACTGCTTGGCCCAGAAATTGTCTTAACCTTACCTAACCCAAAATAATGTGAGAGACAGGATACTATTCATCATCTAATAGGCCAAGCGCTGGGCCACCTAGCCCATCCAAGTCATGAATGTCGTCTTAATACATTAGAATATTTGAATGAAATAAGGAAGGTACAAAAACAGGTTTATTCTAAAGAGTGGTCAGTTTTAAAATGCTACCACGTACAACTTACAAATAACAATTGAAATAAAGAATGATAATATTTAATTCTTCTAACCCTAAAACGTTTCAAAAAATAATACAACTATATAAGGTTACCAAAAACCTCAAATTTTAAGATTTCATTCTTAGCCAATGTATTAAATAAACAATTAAAAGACTATATCAAAGCAGAAGGCTTAATTTATTCTATAAATTTTTATACTTTTGAGTTGCAGGTCGTCTTTACGTACAGTCGCATCCTTTGAGGGCTGGTAAATTTAATGAAGTTGAGCCGTGTTCTAAATCCGTCAGAAATCGATTTCTATTGAGCGCCGGCTTAAATCTTTAAACCTTGAATACAGTTTAAGTAAAGCCAACCATATTTGAGTTAAATTTAAGCCACGGCTCAAATTCTTTAAAGTCGACCTCTGGTTTGCCATAAAATCAAAATCTAAAGAATGCGTTCACAGTTTTCTCAGAATCTTAAAAAGTGTCCTTGAAAAATCCAAGTATGTTCCTAGAGTCTCAAAGTTGTATTATTTTTTTTGACGTTTCAAATATCTATAATAATCAAATCAAATCAGTTCGAATATGTAAATTAATATTCAAGTTAATGTCTAAAGATCAGACAAACCAAGTCAATTAAAACATTTCTTTCATCCATTTTATAATTTTAATAAACAATTTTTGATATTTTGGAGGTCAATTTTAATTATTATGAAAAACAATCCATTATACGACTGAAAACTACAAAAAGGATTAACTTAAAAAAAAATTTTCAGTAAAAAGATATTTTAAAAATAATTAAGTGGCCTGTGGCCGAATTTAAAGAAATTGAGCAGCGGCTTAAATCCGCCAAAACCCGGTTTAAATTAAGCGTCGGCTTTAATCTTGAAACATTTGATACAATTTTAAGTGGAACCAACCATATTTAAGCCGCGGCTCAAAATCTTTAAATTCTGCCTCTGGCTTCTCAAAAATGAAATTGTACCAATGTTTGATGGAAAATATAAAGATACAAAATAACTGCTCAATTAAAGAAACTAATTAATTAATAAATCTATCAAAATACAGATAGATAATTGAATATTAATAAGATAAAAAATTCCCAGAATCCCCTAAAATAAGATCTACCATGTAGAGAGATCAAATAATAATTAACTCTATAATCATCGATAATTTTTCGATGCATTCGTATATCGTTGATATTTCATAACATTTTATGATAGTTATTTTTGAAAACATTTATTCCTGTTTCGAGGATTTTTTAATAATTAAGAAGACATTTTCATTTTTTTCAGGAATGTTCGAAAATCCAGCACCAGCGAAATATTATTAAGAAAAAAAAATCAAAATTTAACTATATATATGAATGCGTCAACAAATATTGGTTGTAATATCTGAATGATTTGTTTGGAATTAAATTGATTATTTTACGATCCGAGTTGAATGTTGCAACTTTCTAAATTTGTATGGACGCTACGTTCTTCGGTATGAGTCGTTTTTTAACAATTTTCTCCTTATAGACGCAACAGATAGATGTGAGATTAGTAGCGATCAAAAGCCCTTATTTTTCGCCATAAGCCTACCCCTTTAATTTTTCGCGAACACTCTCTTTAAGAAACGGTGAAAATTCTAGAATATTTGAAAACGGAACAATTTTGAAGAAAAAAAAGTAGGACAATTAATTTTTCTGATTGTGGAGCAGGAATATTTACAAAGAGTTTTCAAAAATCCAAAATTCCTATAAACTTCTATTTCTGGTCTTTCATAATTAATTTAATCATTCTTTTTACGTTCTTTCAACCCCATAATATAAATATATTCATTTTTTTTCCCTTCCTTAATCTTTTTCAAAGATTTATCTTCTTACTTTGACCTTTCCATATTCTTTCCTTCTTCTCTCATTGTCGGTTAGTTCTTTCCCTTTTATAGAATCTTATCTCTAAATAACGGGAAAAATTCTCTTAGAAATGTATATTTATAATGCCACTTAATCATAAATGTAGGTATAAAAAGATATATAATTCAAAGTTTAGTTATTCATGATAAGGCTATGGTAAAACTTACTGAGCAAATATTTCAGATCAAACAAGATTTAAATTTCAGAATAATACTTTTGAAATAAGTCTGCATGGATTTTGGTGATTTGGGAACAGCTAGCTGTGAAAGTATTTATGGTATGCGCAGCATAAGGCGAGTTATTTGGGAAGAAACTAAAGTAAAGCAATTGTTGAGTGAAGAGGTTTCTTGCCATACAACGGTTGAGCAACTGAGTACTGTCGACTAGGAACCTACTGGCACTGCTGAAACAAAAAACGCTTCTATTTGCCTGCCAGAGGAACAATACTCGCAAGGTGAGGAGGCAAGGAGGCACTTGAGATAATCTATAAAAGTGAGGATTCTTTTAGTGATGTCTGCCATATGACGATTGAGCAGCTGAGCACTGTCGACTAGGGACCTGCTGGCACTGCTGACGAGGAACATTCCTGCATGACTTCCGAGGAACAGTAGAACACTGCTGGTCAGGAACACTAAGACACTGCTCTCTTGGAACGTTGCGGCATTGTTGACTAGGAATGCTGATACACTTTTGTCTAGGAACGCTTTGACACTGTTCTCTGGGAACAGTTTGGCACTGTTGACGGGGAACATTCTTACATTCCTGTCTCTGGACTTGTCTTGGAACATTCTGACATTTCTCTCTGGGAACCGTTGAGCACTCCTGATCAGGAACTGAACGGCACTGTTGTCTGGGAACATTTCTACATTGCTCTCTTGCAACCTGTCTTGGAACATTTCTGCATTGCTGTCTTGGAACTGATCTGCATTCTTCCTTCGGAACATTCCTACATTGTTGCCTTGGAACATTCTTGCATTGCTGTTTGGGAGCACTGGAACACTCATTCCTGCTGATCTGTCTAGGAACGTTCTGACATTGCTGTCTAGGAACAGAACGGCACTGCTGCTTAGGAACATTGCGACACTGTTGTCTGGGAACACTTCTGCATTCTTGCCTGGGAACATTCTGACACTGTTGTCTTGGAACATTTCTGCATTCCTGTCTGGGCACAATAGAGCACTCCTGCCTTTGAACCTGGCGAGGAACGTTGTTGCACTGTTGCCTTGGAACATTGGTACATTGCTGCCTTGGCACATTTTTGCAGGACTGTTTGGGAACGCTTCTGCATTGTTGCTTTGGAACATTGTTGCACTCCTGTCTTGGAACTGATCGTGGCACAATTGTACATTGTTGCTTAGGAACACTGGTGCATTCTTGCCTGGCAACTTGTCTGCAAGCTGGGGCTGAAGCTGCTCCGTAGAGTGCAGATACTGATTTAGATCCTGAACCTCGAGCATCTCCTACAAATGGGTCATCTCCTCCATAAGAGGGCTGAGCACTGTCGCAAACCTCATCGTAGATTGTTTTACAAACCTGCTCATTTACAGTGCTGCATTGTTGTTCATTTACTGTGTCAGTAACAGTTCGACATTGCTGTTCTTGGACAGTGTTACATACTTGCTCATTGACAGTGTTGCAAACCTGTTCGTTGATAGTTGAACACCTCTGCTCGCTGACGGTAGTGCACTTTTGCTCGTTGACGGTATCAGTGATGGTCTGACACTTTCGTTCTTGGACAGTGTTACATTGCTGTTCATTAATTGTTGAACACTTCTGTTCTTGGACAGTGTTACATTGCTGTTCATTAATTGTTGAACACTTCTGTTCTTGGACAGTGTTACATTCCTGTTCATTGATGATAGAGCACTGCTGTTCCTGAACAGTATTACATTGCTGTTCATTTACTGTGCTGCATTTTTGTTCGTTGACAGTATCTGTTACAGTTCTGCACTGCTGTTCCTGAACAGTATTGCAGACCTGTTCATTGACTGTGTTACATTTCTGTTTGTTGACGGTATTACATTGCTGCTCCTGAACTGTATTACACTGCTGTTCATTGACTGTATCGTATTTGGTTTCGCACTTCTGTTCATTTACAGTATTGCACTCCTGTCTTGTGGTAGGACGGCATTGCTGTTCTTGGACAGTGTTACATTGCTGTTGGTTGACAGTGTCCGTGACAGTTTTGCATTGCTGTTCATTGACTGTGTTACACTTCTGCTCATTTACAGTACTGCACTGCTGTTCATTTACTGTACTGCACTGCTGGTTCTGGACAGTGTTGCACTGCTGTTCATTAATAGTGTTGCACTCCTGCCTGGTGGTGGGACGGCACTGCTGCTCTTGTACTGTACTACATTGCTGTTCATTTACTGTGCTGCATCTTTGCTTGTAAACTGTTATGCAATTGTTCCGAGATTGCCCTCCTTGAAGTGCCCCTTTGATAAGGGCCCCTTTGATAAGGGCTCCCTTAACAAGTGCTCCCTTAACAAGCAAGTCAACGGTAGGGGAAGATTCAGACTCTGAGAAACAGAATAGAACAAACACAACCTAAATAGATTTATATTATTTATTATAATTTACAAGAAATGATATATACACTACTAGCTGGGTGACACTCAAATTGTTCCTAGAGCCTACCAATCTAAGAACTCTCCTTGGTTCAACCGTGTTCCCAGATCAAAATTTGAAGCAAATTGATCCAGTGGTCCATTATTCATGATCGGAAATTAAACAAGCACCAAGACAAATAAAGATGACTACTTAGAATATTTAGATAAATGATAAAAACTGTGAGTTCCATAAAAGAAAATGATTACTGAAATTCATTTAATTGGAGTGTGTTTTCAGATTTTTTCAGAAACTTAAATTTTAAAATCCCTAATATTTGCAACCTGGTGGTGTAAACCCAAATAGCCTAAGTTTGAAATATCAAAGGCTTACACTAAAGGCCTGCAGGTCTAAAGGGATTAAAAATCAGAGTTTCTGGCAAAAACCCAGTTCCTGTACTCAATATATTGCCCGTTAATTATGAATTTATGATTTTTATGATAGATTAAAATTGGACTGTTATATGTCAATAAGGGTCTAAGATGCTTACCATGATGACTTGTAATTTGATCATGAATTTACTGCCGAAAATTTCCAAAAAATATCTTTTCTACTTAGACGACAAAATGCATTTCTCAATTTTAGAAGAAAAAAAGGCTTTTAGAAGGAAATGAAAGATTAAAGATTATCAATTAAGTCTGTAACTGAGCCAAGTTCACTATAATAGCATCAGTCTTAAAATTTTGTGGAATGTTAACTTCCAGGCGAATTTGGTATATTGTATCATTCCATTGATTCTGATTTTTCTAAGAGTAAAATTGATTTTTAAATTGCTGGTATAAGAAGGATAATAATTTGAACAAGGTTTGAAGAATTCATCCATTGTGAAAAAAAAACTTTATATAATGTAAAAATTATTTTCTGATCCACAAGACTTTTTTATAGGTGGTACACTGAAAATAGAAATTAAATAAAAAAGGTTCTTTAAATCCCAACATCACTTACTTGTGTAACATTTAATAATATAAAAATTACGTTGTAAAATTTGAATTACCCATCTCGCAATTTCATAGTTTCAAAATTAACACATGGTCTATTTAATATTTTTGTAACAACATTAAGTTATTGCCACAAACTCGGATTTTCTAATATATATTTATTTTTAACCCAATGTCTTAAACCTTAGATATTTCAAACTATAAATTCTGTAATCAATTAAATCAAATATTCTGAGCTTGAAATATCAAAGGTTTACACCATCAGGTGTCAAATATTTAAGGATTATAAGATTTGAGTTTGGGGCAATTACTTAATTCCTTTCATTAAAAATTTCAATTTATTTTTAAAATTATTTCAAAACAATGGGACAATGCGGAATGAAATTAAAAAAGATATATTTCTTCCTCACATTTTCAAAACTTTTCAAGATTTTTTATGATTTTATCTGATAGAATTGTTCAGATAAGTTTAGAAAAAATATAGAGAAATAATTTTAAATGGCGGGACAGCGAATTTTAGAAAGGGAAAAGTATTGGAAAAGATAATATTTGATACCAATTTCAAATAAATATTTACACTATGGGCATCCAAATAAACTATTAAACCGAATGTAGTTTTCCCCAGGTATGAAATTAAAAAAAGACAATTCTAAAACTAGAGCCTGAAAAAAATGTTCTTGTTTTTCGGTATTATATCAAAACTAATTCAGTAAACAATTTGAAAAAAATATATCTAAATATTTTGTTAAAAAAACGTCGTCGTTGTGTGAGAGATGAAATATATCTGATAACCCTACCACGCCAAGTATTAGTGTCTGCATAGTGACTCAGCAGTCCGCTGGTTCCCTACATACTAAAGAAATCCCCCCCAATCCACACCGTTTTATATCCATTGTATTCTCTTCAAGCAGAGGTCAGGGAACACTCTTTGCTCACCCATCAGAAATCAAGTCCGCAGAGATTCTTAGATATATGTATTTACAATAGCCAAGAGCATCATTGCTGGTCTTAGAAAACCCCAAAATCGAGGGGAGGGTGTCATCAAATGTTTAGACAATCTCGACTTTAAAGTGTCGCATCGCCTTATCCTTTGGGTTTACCTCACCCACTCACTCATACTTTTATGTAGTCTTAACTATTTTTAATATTCAATGCGGTTGTTTTCTAGTTTTAGGTTGACAGGAAAAATACTGCTCGATTTTTGTGTGAGAGCATCTTGGTTTTCAGTGCCCTGTAAGCAGGTATAGTACAACCATCATTGTCATAATTTGACAGACTGAATGGGCAGCTTGGGTATTTAGTTGAATTCGGAAATTTAAACCAACTGTTTTCCTTGTTTATGTATAATTGCAATTTTCAATTTAACTACATATTGTAGTTTTTACCTGGTTTTTTTAACTACATATTGTAGTTTTTACCTGGGTTTTTTAACTACATATTGTAGTTTTTACCTGGGTTTTTTAACTACATATTGTAGTTTTTACCTGGGTTTTTGATGTGTCATCACAAATTTACAGATTCTTTTCTTGATAAATGTGAACAAGGTTTTCAGCATCATAATTAATTACAATTCACAGTTTTAAAAGAACCCATAATATTGTGATCGTAAAGAACCCATAATATTGTGATCGTAAAGAACTCATAATATTATAATTAACATTATAACATTATAAAAATTAGATTAAAAACATGGCTAAGTAATTTGTAATTTAAAATTTATGAGTTTAACAGAGATAATTTTAAAACGCTTTATAATGATTATTTGACGGAAATCAAACCAAACAAAATTTCTTAAAAAAAAACAATCTCATTTCATAGGACACTTTTATTTCTCGTAAAGAAATCTTCCTTTTTTCATAATCTATCAATAAAAACCAAATAAAAACAAAGGAATCCGTGGAATATTTTATTGTTATCATTTCAAAATGTACGAATAGCTTGCAGTATGTCAGTATAGAAAACAACAAAAAAGGCCTTATCTTATTTTAAAAATTTAATTTCAATGTTTTAAAAAGAAAAAGAAAAATTTCATTATGTTTTTAGGTTGTGGTTTAGGGATTTATTTCCCTGCAATTTTATTCGCCCGGAAATATGGATTTTTATTATGCAGTAAATGACATTATACACTTAACTAATAAACTATACTTATCATTCAAATATTAATCCAATGTTATTTTGTTTCCAATTAATTTTAAATCTGATATTTAGATTATTTGTATATATTTCGAATTTAGTTTTATATAAATTCTAAATTCTCAGGCCTAATACTACTTGTGCAATGTGCATACAATACTTTGAATTAAGAGCGCATGAAATTAAAGGTAATGCAAGTAATTACACTCGTTTTACTGTGTATTTTATACATCCTTAATTTTAAATACACATATATAAGTATATATTTTTACATCTTATACATTATAAACATACATAAATCCTGTTAGTTTTATTATCTATAACAATTTACTTTTGCATTTGCAGAATTTACTATGTGAAATGAACCTAGTTTATTTTCGCAAATTCAAATGTTAAAATCTTAGAGATTTTTTCAATCTTAATGTGTAAGCCTATACTATTTGACTGAGTTAATAGTTTGAAATATAAAAGTTCTATTATATAATTATATAATTATATATAATGGGTTGCAGAGACACAGGTTGACGAATATCAGAGTTTGCGGCAAAAATTCAGTTTCTTTATTGTATGCTTCACAATTCTGGATTTAATTTTATTATCATAACCAGGTACCTCATTTTTTGGGGTTAGATGTCTTTTTTTATAAGTCAGGATGCATCAACTTAAACTTAATGTAAAGCTTTCAACGAAGGAGGGATGTCTGCTCTCAGGGTTTTGGAATTGCTCTGAGAGTTTTGGAGCGCTCCCAGGATTTTGGAGTTGCTCCCAGAGGTTTGAAGTAAATTGTGAAAAGATTATTGGTAAATGTAGAAAAAAAAATTTTTGCTAGAAACATAAAGGTTTATTTGAGAAGGTCTAATACATCTCAACATCTTTATAAGTTATCTTATTACCAAGTTTTTTCAAATGTTTTGCCTAAAACAATCTTAAAATTGATTGGTGCCGTATAAAAATGCATTTTTACTCTACACTCACAAAATAAAAATTGTTCTATGTCAAATTAAGAGCTTTCTTTGTGGCGCACATTATACCAAAAATCATCAAATTATTAAGATATCTGAGGAAAACTAAGAAAGAAAACATAGTTTTCCTCAGTTATCTCAATAATTTGATAATTTTTTATAATTTATAAAAGATTATAAAGATGTTGAGATTAGACCAGCTCAAATGAAACCTTTATTTATCATGTTAAAAAAAAGGATTTTTTTACATTTACCAATAATCTTTAAAGTATAAGCTAAAACAAATGTCTTCAGTTTGGCTAATCAAAACTATATGATCTCCACAGGCTAATTGGACTGAAATATGAGATTTTTTCCCCTGCAAATATAGTAAAAAAGGGGTATAGCAGAGCCATTTATTCAATTTTCGGTTTTAAAGTTTCCTTTTTAAAGGACTTTTCATAAAAGGTCGGATAAATTTTCACATATTACTCCAAAACCCTGGGAGCAACTCCAAAATCATGGGAGCACTCCAAAACTCTGGGAGCAATTCCAAAACCCTGAGAGCAATTCCAAAACTCTAAGAGCAGCCACTCCTCCCTCTTTGAACCTCTGAAGCCTTAGACCATGGAGAAATGTATAATGTGTCGAGTTAAGTTGATAAAAGTTGGTGAAACGAGATCAAATTTAAAGATATCAACCTGATTGTACGGTAATTAGACATCATGTTGCACAATAGAATTAGCGGGAGCTTATTTAGGATTTCTAAGAAAGTATAATTTCAGGGCGCTTTGCGCTCACTTTTCAAGTTTTATTTTTGCTTTGTAATTATGCTTAGTTCGCAACCATTTTTCTTCAAACAATCTAAACAATGATATTTTAAGATTTTTTCGCGCTTTCATTATTTTTTTTGGAGACAACATTTTTAATTCAGACCGACTTGTGGCCATATTTCAGTCGTTTTGACATGAATTAGTTACGATCAATTATATTTATATATGATGCGGGATTTTTCATCAATATAACTTAATATTTAGGTGAAGGGGGAATTTTTAACTTAAGAGAATTGCTGGACATTATTAAAAAGTATATCTGATTTCGAATTAAAGGTAATAAAATCCAATGTTGCGTTTATATGACAATTTATTTCAAACAAATATGAAAATACGAATAGAGTTGGAAACTTTTGAAGGTATAGATTGAATTAAGCCCCTACCCATAGTTTTCTGATTTTCAAAGAAGTTTAAGGTAACCATTCTCTTCGTGTAAATCCGTTCTTATGTACTTAGATTTTTAAAATTCGTTTCAAAACTTAACTCCTTCCAAAATTTAAAGGTTTGGTTAAAGAATAATGTTTCATTTTATTGATTTGCTCCAACTCAACCAAAAGTTTTGGACTCGAACCTTTTCAAACGTGTTCTTGACATTATTAAAAAAAAGATTGGCTCTACCTGTAAGTTTTTTGGTTTAGAATTTTGATCAAAATAAACTAGGAAATAAAACTGTGTGCAATTATCAGACTGTCTAGAGATGAATCAGACATTTTACGCAGAATATTAAGTGGTTCAAATTTGGTTCTGAAATTTCGGAGAGATGGCTCATGTTGAGTTTGGGGTTTCAATTCTTTCCGAATAATTATGGATCATTTAATGTCTGGCAATACCTTTACATGCCTCTAGTCAAACTTTTCAAGGCCTTATCATTAAAAATTATACGACTAACTTTTATTAGAGTGTAAGGGAGAATTTTTAAAAAGTAAAAAAGTTCAAAAAGTACGTCGGAAAAATGTTCAAAAATAGATATTTTTACTTTTGACAAACCTATATATGACCCTTCTTTTGTTATCCCTTTTAAAGTGTTTTTAAAATATATAAATTTTAGCCCTAACTTCATTAATTTAAAAGTTATAAACCTTTTGCAATTTTTTAAACACCGACCCACCGTTTGACAGTCCTGCCGTTACAACTATGATGTTTTAGCGTTTTAATGTAATTTGATTTATTTTTTAAAAACCACAGGGGTGGGGGCGGATAACAATGTTAGGTTCTTTCCCAAAGGATTTTTCCCAAATGGCTACTTCCCAAATGTGTCACAGTCACTTCCCAAGCGGCAACTTACCAACACTGTCCAAGCCGCAGCGCACAACCCCCCCCTTGGCCACCCCATGGCAGCCAGCAGCGCCGAGAGGGCCTAACCTAACCTTTAGGAAGTTGCCGTCTGGGAAAATGCCACTTGGAAAAATACCTAACACCTGTAAAACACCCCCCTCCCCCCAATGTGATGGGGTTAAACCCGTTTAATGTTTAACCCTTACACGGCAATATTGCTCAATACATCTATTTAGTGCATAAAGTACTTTTATTAATCAGTTTCAAATGACCTTCCGTGTGCAAAGTGGAGTGTCTTATTTACAACAGTATCCCCCTTCAAATTTTGACTGACGAAGGCTAAAATACTTACATATTAAAAGTATGTATTATAACTCAAAACTTTTTTTTTACATGAAGCATTAAAATGATTTTAATAAAAAATCTTCACAATAAAAACAAAATCAATTGTGAAATTCATGAGAAAGTCATAAGCGGGGTCTGCAGCTATTGGCGTGCTTTCAATTCATATTTAAATATTTAAACAATTATCGTTGCATACAGTTTTCAAGATATTCCGAAATGGTAGATTTTTTCATAGTTTGGTCCTAAAAGTTCGGAACTGAAAGGGGCTGTACTGTGTACAGATGTTCGATTGACAAATGAACCCTTAACTTAGTAATAATAGAATTTGGGGTAAAATGTTTTTTTTTTCTGCATAAAATCTGAAATATCTCAGAAAACTTGAATTTGTATTGTCCTTTCTATACTGTACAGTTTCACTGACTAAATTGTTTTGCTAGCATGTTTCTCAGTGTAGGGCTAAACATGTTGTTATATTACGGTTGTAAAAACTAAATAGTTATTTTATAAAATATATCTGACTTTATGGCCTTCAATAAGAAAATGTATGGGACGTCATTGTGATTGCCTATAAACATTGGGATAAATAAAACTGCAGTAATAACCAAAAAACTCTGAAATAGGAAGACGACTTTTTGACCAGTTATGACTTGAAATAGTCCAATAAGCATGAAACAGTAATTGTGCAGTGTAAACAGACCCATTTTACTTACTTAGTGATTTAATAGGCGTCTAATTAATCAATTTGCTTTGTATCAACATTAAATAAAGTATTGTTATAATGTCGTCTTCCTATTTCAGAGTTTTCTGGTTATCACTGTATAGAAATGGGAAGATGACTGTAAGACTCAGCTACATTGATAACCAGAAAACTTTGAATCAATCAGACGACTTTTAAAATTATGTTATAACTTTAAAAAGTCTTGGGAGCATGAAACACGGCAATAGTGCAGTGTAAACAGACAAATTTCACTAAATTTGACTTAATAAGTGTCTTGTATTTGCTATGTAACAACATCAAATAACCTTTAGTATTGCAATAATGTCGTCTTTCTATTGTGAGACCCATTTGAGTTGATAAGTTGTTTTTTGTAAACTTCTAGTAAAACTATTTGGTAAAACAGAAATAGAATCAAATACCTTTAATTGCTTAAATGCCGTCTTCCTTATTAACAGTTTATGATATATACATAGTTTATTCAATTTTCACTTTTAAGATTAAAAGGCTTTATAAAGTAAAACATCAAAATCTTTAAATTACTCATTCAGAAAAGGTCTGCATTTAAATTCCAAATTCAAAGAGGAAAATTAAATGAGTAATAAAAAGCGCGCTATATAAAATTGGATATAAAATTGAACCAAAATAAGATCATTTTGATACCCAAAAACCTGTTAAAAGGTAAATAAACATCAGGGTTTTGAATTTTATGGGTCATTAAACATAGAAAAATATGATTTTGACATCATAACAAGAATCAGTTGATCTCTGCCCTGTGATTAGAGAAGCCAAGGGTGTAATGCAAGGAAAGTTAATTGCGGTCGTGTATACTCTGCTTACATATTGAAACCAGTTCTCTTTGGGCGGAATTTGTAAACAAGAATAGATGCATCAGAGTTCGTTTAGTATCCGAGGAGGTTTATAGCATTACATTTTGATAATTTTGATCATTCACATAATAGCTTCCTATCCCCAGAATATTTCATTGACTTTTTTATGTGAAAGATGGATCTCATGTCAAGGCTTCGACATCCGTCTTGTGTTTACATTACCGCCCAGAGACAGTACACATGCAGTACAAAAGATGTGTACAGTGTACACTTCTCAAATAACTTTCCTTGCCTTACATCCTTGGGAGAAGCTAAATTGAACACGAATTGTATCCACACCGTAGATCAGCTGTATGTACCCACACCGTAGATCAGCTGTATGTACCCACACCGTAGATCAGCTGTATGTACCCACACCGTAGATCAGCTGTATGTTGTTAACCTATTTTGTTCATACTAAAGGTTTATATATTTGACACTGGAGCATGGTGTAGTTGTCTGTCCTGTCCATATCCTTACTGACACCAGAGGCCGAATTTAAAGAATTTGAGCGGCGGCTTAAATTTAAGCCGCGGCTCAAATATGGTTGGTTTCACTTAAGTATTCAATGTTTCAAGATTTAAGCCGGTTTTTGGCGGATTTAAGACGCGGCTCAAATTCATTAGATTCGGACACAGTTTTGATATTTGCATTAAGTGAGCAGTGTAAAATTTAAAGACTGATCACTGCAAGATATCTTTATTCGGTAAACAAAATACACTGCATACATGAAAGTAAATAATATCGTGAAAAAATGTATTTCAATAATGCCACTGATTACGAATTAATGCCATAAATAAGACTAGACGAGAACTCGGTATAAATACTGATCGTCAATAAATAATAAAGCTGTGGTAAAACTAGACTGAGGTTTAAGGTCTCCAGAGCAAACCAGTTTATCACGGGAACTAGGAAATCTGAACTTAGGATTGGACTCTGGATTTCTGGATTAAGGTTTGGACTCTGAAATTCTGGAATCATGTCTGGACGTGGAAAGGTTTCTCTAGAAACTTGCAAGGAACTGGGAAAAGTAAGAAATGGAGTAGTAAGGGTCAGGATGGTTTTAAAAATAGAAAATTGTAAAAGGTTGGAGTGATAATCTGATAGAAGATAAGGAAAATGACAGATCTGAGAAAAGATTTGGGAATTATCTGCCATATGTGGGCTGAGCAGCTGAGCACTGTTGTCTAGGGACCTGCTGGCACTGCTGACGTGGAACATTCTTGCACTCCTGTCGAGGAACACTGGAACACTCCTGATCGGGAACACTGCGACACTGCTGTCTTGGAACATTCTTACACTCTTGGCTGGGAACATTACGACACTGCTGCCTGGGAACACTCTGGCACTGCTCTCTTGGAACATTCTGGCACTGCTGTCGTGGAACATTCTTGCACTCCTGTCTTGCGACCTGTCTGGGAACATTCTGACATTGCTGTCTTGGAACCGTTGAACACTCCTGATCAGGAACTGAACGGCACTGTTGTCTGGGAATGTTTCTGCACTCTTCCTTGGCAACCTGTCTGGAAACATTTTGGCACTGCTGTCTGGGAACAGATCTGCATTCCTCCTTGGGAACATTTCTGCATTCTTGTCTGGGAACGTTGTTACATTGCTGTCTGGGAACGTTTGAGCACTCTTCTCTGTTGACTTGTCTGGGAACATTCTGGCATTCCTGCCTGGGAACAGTCTGGCACTGTTGTCTAGGAACACTGCGACACTCTTGCCTGGGAACACTTCTGCATTCTTGTCTTGGGACGTTCTGACACTGTTGTCTGGGAACACTTCTGCACTCTTGCCTGGGAACATTGTTGCACACTTCTCTTGGGATATTATTGCAGACCTGTTCCTCAACCCTCCTGGGAACCTGTTCGCACTGTTGCCTGGGAACACTTCTGCATTCTTGTCTAGGAACATTAGAACATGCCTGTCTTGGAACATTGTTGCACACTTGCCTTGGTACATTTCTGCATTCCTGTCTTGGAACATTAGAGCACTCTTGTCTTTGAACCTGGCGCGGAACATTGTTGCATTGTTGCCTGGGAACATTGGTACATTGTTGCCTGGGGACATTGTTGCATGCTTGTCTGGGAACATTTTTGCATTCTTGCCTTGGAACATTGCTGCATTCTTGTCTGGGCACCTGTCTGGGAACATTTCTGCATTGTTGCCTTGGAACATTGGTGCACTCCTGTCTTGGGACCTGTCTACAAGCTGGGGCAGCAGCTGCTCCATATCCTGAAGAAGCTGATCCTGCTCCACGAGCATCTCCTCCAAATCCTCCGAATCCTCCGGAGCCTCCAGATCCACCAGATCCACCATAAGTGGGCTGAGCGCTGTCACAAACCTCGTCGTAGACAGTGTTGCAAACCTGTTCATTTACGGTGTCGCATTGTTGTTCATTAACAGTGTCTTGGACGGTGCGGCATTGCTGTTCTTGGACAGTGTTACATACTTGCTCATTGACAGTGTTGCAAACCTGTTCGTTGACTGTGGAACACTGCTGTTCCTGGACTGTAGTGCACTTTTCCTCATTGACGGTGTCGGTGACAGTCCGGCACTGCTGTTCCTGAACTGTATTGCACTCCTGCTCTTGCACTGTGTTGCACACTTCCTCGTTAACTGTGTTACATACCTGCTCTTGGACAGTATTGCACTGCTGCTCCTGTACTGTACTGCACTGTTCCTCATACTTGGTCATGTACTGGGTTTCACACTTCTGCTCCTGGATGGTATTGCACTGCTGCTCGTTTACAGTATTACATTGCTCCTCATTAACAGTGGAGCACTGCTGTTCTTGAACTGTGTTACATTGCTGTTCATTAACGGTAGAGCATTCCTCTTCCTGTACGGTGTTGCATTGCTGTTCGTTAACAGTATTGCACTTCTGTTCGTTGACAGTATCTGTGACAGTTCTGCACTGCTGTTCCTGAACAGTATTGCAGACCTGTTCATTGACTGTGTTACATTCCTGTTTGTTGACGGTATTACATTGCTGCTCCTGAACTGTGTTACACTGCTGTTCATTTACTGTATCATATTTGGTTTCGCACTTCTGTTCATTTACAGTATTGCACTCCTGTCTTGTGGTAGGACGGCATTGCTGTTCTTGCACAGTGTTACATTGCTGTTCGTTGACAGTGTCTGTAACAGTGTTGCACTGCTGTTCATTAACTGTGTTGCATTGCTGCTCATTTACAGTATTGCACTGCTGTTCGTTTACAGTGCTGCATTCCTGCTTCTGTACAGTGTTGCACTGCTGTTCGTTTACAGTGCTGCACTCCTGTCTGGTGGTGGCACGGCACTGCTGCTCTTGTACTGTATTACACTGCTGTTCGTTAACAGTGTTGCACTCCTGTTCGTAAACTGTAGTACAGCTGTCCTGTTGGGCTCCGCCGTATGAAGAGCTGGCGGAGGCAGCTGCCTGTCCGTATCCTGGTAGCTGAGCACTACGCTTCTGGATAATTCTCTTAAAGAGGTTTCCGTAGGAAGCGTTGGGGGCGGAGAGAGAGCAGGAGATTAAGCTCACAGCCAGGACAGCCTTAAATAGAGTACATTAATGAAAACTTAATATTGTCTTGAATATACAGGGTGTCACACTAAACATGACAATAAAAAATATCTCAACCTAAACACTTTTCATTAGGTACATCACACTATAAATATTCGTTTTATTTTTTTATTAAAATTATGTAATTAGACTGCTATAGCTATCAAAGATCAAGAACGATATCTTATCATCTGTCAACTGTCATGTTTATTAAGACATCCTGTAGCTCTTCAGCTTCTTTCAGTTTTATCTTGAATTCAATGATTTGGAACAAATAATTAATTGTCATCATTGTTCCGTTGTCTTGGCTTATTTGTTAATAATTAAAGTTATGCAGGGGCATTTTTGTTGCAGCGGCGGGGGGGGGGGTTGGCACTAAAGATAGCTTTCATAAACTTTGTATATTCTTTTATAGTTGTAAAGATATTGCAACGCATTTCTAAATACCATCACTGTTTAAATATAATATTTGAAAATCTAAAACTTATAACATTGTAATTTCCGTAGTTTGATCGAGGATTTAAAAATTATGCACGAACTGACTTTTCTTTTAACCATTATAAACACTCAGAACAAAGTGTTTGTGTTTTTTATCTTTGCAAATAGTATGTATTTTTAGCAATTTGATATATTTGATATTTATCTTCCTGTTTACGTATCCATAGCTAAACAAACTCATTACAGCTTAAACATATATCAAGTCATTTCAGGCCTTTGTCAGTAAAAATTGCAAGATCATCCATTGTTGCAAAAATAAATTGAACTCATCCCCCCACTTCCACTCTGTCATACACAGCCCCGTATTTCACGACGTCTTTTTTGCTATGCCCCACGTTGAAGACCATTTTTAGAATTTCAGCATTCCTTCTTTTCATATTCTCTTTTTCACGTGTCACATAAATCATATTAAAATTTTCCGTACCGATAGGAGTGTGTGTGTTCTCATGGTCAGACGGAGCAGTGCACTGGTCGCTGGTCCGTCACAAACTGAGGAAACCCCGGATGATCAACATCTTATATAAGCGGCGCCTCGGACCCTACTATGGGTTGAGGAGAGTTGGGGAGAGCGTCTGGCGCCAACCCAAGCGCCAGGCACCAGGATGAGTACATGAGCTGGCAACAGTGTTTTGAGAATTGTAAATGTGTAGAAATGGTCAAGGGTCCTTCCAGGCGCCCCAGGCGGGAGGAAGAGAAGGAAAAGCCCAGTGAACCCAGGGAGTGCCGGGGTGGGGTGGGTATGTTTCTCCATTATTGTCTATTTTTTTCCTCTATATTCTCTTTTATTTTTATAGTTTAACTCTGTATTTTTAATTACATTTAATGTAGGAAAAAAAATACATTTTTTCTGTTTTTATTATCATTTAAATTTAAGTTAATTTTTTCCTTCTATTTGGAGATTTTTAATTTTTTCCACTTTTACCCTCATTGAGAATCTTTTTGTCTATTTCTTCTTTATAAACTTTTTTTCTTCCCTTTTCCTTTCTTTTAATATTTTCTTTCTTTATTTTTTAATCATTTAATGTTTTTCTGCTTTAGGTACATTTTACTCACTTTTCACTTTTCCCTTATGCAAAAAATGCAAAATAACTTTTGCTCTCAAACCCCAAATCTGAACTGTTCAAAAAAAGAGAAATTATCAAATATTTCCTTAGGTTTATCAAGCATAAAAATAAGCGAAAAAAAAGGAAAATAATTTTAAAATTTATCTTTCATGAAAAAAATCACTAAATCTTAAAAAAATGTTCATGACCTAGATCCGGATTCATTTTTTTCCAATGCAGATCTATAGGATCCGGATCAGCATCAAAATCAAATGAATCCTAAGCACTTTATGCAACAAGATACATTCATAATTCAAGCTGGCCAGCTACAGATCAAGATTTGCGCTATTATTGCGAATGGAAACCCTAGTTTTTTTTTAATATTTTTTTCTCGCCAAATTTTTTATAAACTTATTTTTTTATTCTATTTCCAGTCTTATTTTTGTATTTTGTCGTTTTCACATGACTATTTTTGTTATTGATTTAAGATTAATTTTACTTTTCTTCAGCTCTTTGAATTTTGATGCCATTTAAGTTAACCATATCACGATACTATGTTTTTTTTCTAAAAAACTTAAAAACGGCTCAAATTAGAACGCTAAAACTGTTTCACTTTTTTATAGTTGAAACAAATTTGGCTATAAATTTTTTTTATGCATAGTGCACGCCAATCAAACAGTCAAACGTCGGGTCGGTGTTTCAAAAAAATCAGAAATGGTTAATATCTTTTTCTTAATTAAGTTACAGGGCTAAAGTTTATGTACTTATTTGTCCGATGTACTTTTTGAACTTTTTAAAATCATAGGAGGGTGGGGAAACATCCCCCCCCTCTAATTAGACAAAAATAGCCCCTTTGCGATTGGGTTAAATCTAAAATTTAAGCATTCTTTTACGTAATTATTTTGAATTCAATATGTTTACTCTAATGTATATTGGTGTTTATTTGTTTACTTAGACTTGACTAAACAAATACAAATATTCATGTTTATGGTTGCACCCAACAATCTAAAATAAAAATAAAGTTTAGCAACTTATTTCTAAAAAAAAATGTTTGAACAGGGAACAAGTTTTCAACAATATGACTGAAAGGTGTTTGTTTGAATCCTTCTTTCTTCTTTCTTCTTCTGTCTTGAAATGCTATTTAATCTGCCCTAATATGTAATTAAAAATAGATGACCTTGAAATATCATAATTTCCGATTATTTAGACTCGATCATTATAAAACATTCAGATGTAAACATGGGTATATACTATTAAATCTTCAATAGATAATAAAAAGATAATATAAAATATACAAAATTGCTTTGCCTATAGCTATACTAGCTTTTAATATTCATAACGATACCCTTCTACAACATTAAATAGTCACATCATTAAGTGGTCACATCATTAAGTGGTCACATCATTAAATTAATTGGTCACATCATTAAGTGGTCACATCATTAAGTGGTCACATCATTAAGTGGTCACATCATTAAGTGGTCACATCGTTAAGTGGTCACAACATTAAGTGGTCACATCATTAAGTGGTCACATCATTAAGTGGTCACATCATTAAGTGGTCACATCATATTAAGTTGTCACATCATTAAGTGGTCACATCATTAAGTGATCACATCATTAAGTAGTCACATCATTAATAAGTCACATCATTAAGCATGGTCACATCATTAAGTGGTCACATCATTAAGTGGTCACATCATTAAGTGGTCACATCGTTAAGTGGTCACAACATTAAGTGGTCACATCATTAAATGGTCACATCATTAAATGGTCACATCATTAAGTGGTCACAACATTAAGTGGTCACATCATTAAGTGGTCACATCATTAAGTGGTAGCATCATTAAGTGGTCACATCATTAAGTGGTCACATCATTAAGTGGTCACATCATTAAGTGGTCACTTCAGTGAGCGCCCACGTCATAAATTGTGCACATCAGAAAGTGGTCATTTTTCGCCATATAGCAAATTGTAATCATAGCATTATGTTTATTGGATATGACTGCATAGACTTACGCAATATGCATTCAAATGCACAAATGCGGATTAAATCAAGATAAAATTCCAATATTTAAACTAAATACATTTCTGATACATTCATCAGAACCAAAATGATTTAACGCATTCCTCTGATTAGTACAATTCATAACAAACTAATACTTCTAAATGTTTATGTATTAAACCAACTTAAATCCCTATCTATGTATCTTAATATGAAGGTCACTAGGGAATACAATGCGTCGAAATTACAATCTATCTTTCCTTTCCGAAAAAGTCAATATTTCGTGTGCAAATATTCAAATATGTAAAATTTGATCTAGGAAGATCTTTTTCAGCATAGATTACACAGATGGGACAAGAGTGCTAGTAGACGTGTAATCGATGGAACTAAATAATCCATTTTCTGAAATTGTTGTTCCAACTGTGAATCTCACTAATACAACAACTGCATTTGTTGTTCTTACTTTATAGTCTTTGGATCTATAACTATTGTTGTTGTTGTTCTAACTGTGTTATCTGTGGACATTAATAATATAACTATTTCATTTGTTGTTCACTGCATCATTTGCTGTTCTAACTTTTTAATCTGTGGATCCAACTAAAACCATTGCTAAATTTGTTGTTCCAAATTAAACTGTGGATCTAACTAATGCAACCACTACATTTGATGTTCTAACTGTGAAATATGTGGATCCAACTAAAACCACTACTAAATTTGTTGTTCCAAATGTGTAAACGTGGATCTAACTAATGCAACCACTAAATGTGTTGTTCTAACTGTATTATCTGTGGATTCAAATGATACAACTGCGTCTAGCTAATACGACCCTACATTTGTTGTTCTAACTGGGTTATCCATGGATTCAAATGACACAACTGCATTCACGGCTTAGGGCTTATTTTAAACTTGGAATCTTCATAATTAAAGAATTTCAAGTCGTCTTTACAGTCTCATCCTTTGTGGGTGACCTTGCAAATTATTTTATATTTGTTGTTCTAACTGTATTATCTGTGCCTCTAACTTTATGAGGATTATTTGAATTAATGCCTGTTTAGTAAAGGTCCTATGCACAATTTCACAAAGTTTTAAACCATGAATCCAACCCCACGTATGAATAGAAGTTAGTTTTCTGATCCCTCTTCTTATAAACAAACAATGCAGAACTCAATTAACTATCAAATTTGTAGGATAACCCAAGGTTAAAAACTTATTAACTAAGATGAGTTGATAAATTCTGTTATCTAGCAAACTATAAACTAAAAACTATAAACTATAAACTATAAACTATAAACTATAAACTATAAACTATAAACTATAAACTATAAACTATAAACTATAAACTATAAACTATAAACTATAAACAATAAACTATAATCTATAAACTATAAACTATAAACTATAAACTATAAACTATAAACTATAAACAATAAACTATAAAGTATAAACTATACACTATGAACTATAAACTATAGACTATAAACTATAAAATATAAACTATAAACTATAAACTATAAACTATAAACTATAAACTATAAAATATAAACTATAAACTATAAACTATAAACTGTATTTAATCCTAGAATTTTGCGAACTCCATACAACAAAAATGTTAAATTTTTGGGAAAATTTATGTTTTTCTAGAGAGTTTGGCTATTCAATGATAAAATTTGATCAACATTTTATATATATTTGGCTTCTCTGTCTGTTTAACAAATTTTTTGTGTCAACTCACACGACCTCAGGGAATGTTTATTCACGGTCTAAATTAAAAAATCTCTCCTCAAAACATATGTCGACATTAATTATTAAAAAAGTCCACCAAGTTCGACATAAAATCCGTGAAAAATGTTGTTTATTGCAGAGCACTATAAAAAAATATCGATTTGAAATGCTGAAATGCTAGAAATGCCTTACTTACTTAAATCGTATTCAGGGCTGCTTCCCTATTTGAATTTATAATTTAAAAACTGAATTTGATTTTATAAAAATTAAAATGTTTCCGATAGGATAAATAAAGGAACACTTGAAATTAGGTACACGGACCCTTTCATGAGTTGTTTGGTAGGAAATAAGCACATATACTTTTTAGCAGTAAGAACATTAGAATATATTTAAACTCGGTTTGCTGAAGATGATCTATCAAGTTTTTGTCGAAACAAAATAAGAATCTGTTTCCCCTAGGCGAGACAACAAGGAAAACAGAAGAGAGCTGATATAAGGGGACAACTCCGCATTCTGCATGCAGCGGAGCCCACTAAATGCTGCCTAAGGAAGTGATAGTATATCATGTGGACAAATGAAGTACCATCTAACCTTCTCACAAGCAGCGAAATGAGAAACTAATTTGAAGTGCAGAGTGGTGACCTAGCCCATGCAAGTAGACAGAATGTGGAGCTGAGGCTGCAATTACAGTTAACCCTATAAAGACTAGGGAATCTGAGTCTATGTATAGCCTGGAGGCGTTTGGCGCCCCCCCCCCTCTGG